AGAGAGAGAGAGAGAGAGAGAGAGAGAGAGAGAGAGAGAGAGAGAGAGAGAGAGAGAGAGAGAGAGGGTATCAGCGAGTGTTGCTGTGCGCCACGTAGCCGTGGCGCGGTCCACTTGTTTTTTTTAATTCTAGAACGGGAATGAAAGCTTTTGTGCTGTGGCGAGTAGTGTGCGAATGATATTATGTGTGCAGTTGTGAAACTGATTGGGAAGAAAAGAAGTTGGACAACAGAAGTACAAATGCAATTTCAGGGAATTTTCAGGGAATTTTCAGCAGCACGTTTTGTTGACATCGTGTGCGCCGTTCTTGTGCTTTTTCACTCTTTTGTGCACAGGGGAAACCGGTTACCCTTAAATTCGTCAAATTTCAAAATGTTGGAAGGTGGGTGAAACGGACCTCCCCCCCCCCCCTCTCTCTCTCTCTTCCCCACCCCCTGCACCGTCTCTTTTTTCCTTGGAATTGGGATGAGAGCGATGAGCCGATATCAACACAGGGCTGAAAGCAAACACAATACACAAGCACGGTGCATGCAGAGCCACGTGATAGAAATGTGTAACCCGGAATTGAATGAAATACCTCATCGAAAAATAGGATGGAGAAATCAAGAGTCTCACCATAGCCTAAAGCTATGGAGCTCAAACCACCGCCCATTAATGGACGGCAGCAAGTCTGGCTTCCCTCTACTACCAGTTTCAGCTGGAGCCAGCATCCAGCCTCATCAGGAGGGAAAACAAACAACTCCGAGGTGTAAAGTAGAGCGAAGGGCAAAGGGCCAAAGGGCAAATGAAGCACACCACACGATATGCAAATGCACACCATATGATCGCGATCACACAGAGATAAATCCGGCAACGCCCGAAAGGATGTCAAATGGAAAAATTCACATCATGTACATCCCATCCTACGTAGCCTCCACCGTCTTACAGTCATCCCCAAGAACCGCCATTCAATCCTCAAACGAAAAAGGCTGCGGTAACCGCCAGCCGAGGCTGAGGGCCAGCAAAGTAGTCGTCTACAGTTAACACGTAAGTGCTAACTACTACAGTGAGTAGGCCGAAAGATAGATATAATCAAAGAAAAACAAAGACTAAATAGTAAATACCACAGCAATACTGCCAAGACGTCTGGTAGCTAACCTCCGTATTGACTACGTCAGGATGCAAAGCGCCTGAGCAGACTTGCAGTCGATTGCCGTACTGCACATCATTTACAGGAGGCAACGTTGTCGAGGACCTTCAGAAACAGGTCAATCGGAAAGCCCTTCCGCTCGAAGGCCAGTTTCAGAAGAATTACCTGGCCAGGGATCTTATTCCGGAAAGCCCTTCCGCTCGAAGGCCAGTTTCAGAAACAGGTCAACCGGAAAGCCCTTCCGCTCGAAGGCAGATGTATTCTGGTCAATGAGGCAGAGCCAGCCCGAAATAGCCCTTTTTTAAGTAGCAAACCTATGTCATAAATACTTAGTAGTAGGTACAACCTCGAGCATTTCCCCTTTTTTAAGCCCCCTCCCGAGGCCTAGCATCCACCCTCTACTATGACATGGACCTTTAAATAAAAAGCAACTCATCATTCCTAGTACTGCCATCTTTTTTTCTTCTTTTTTTTTTCTTTTTTTAATGTGGCCCCGTGGACCCCGGATCAAATATTAAACTGATCAGATAACACTTGATCTATTTTTAGCCAAAAGGTCGAGCGAGGTATTATTCCTAGTTCTACCTACGAAACACACGTTATCAAAAAAATTCCGCGCTCGAGCCACCAAAATCCAACCCGAAATGCAAGAGCCGTGGCGAGGCTTCCTGAAAAAAATCCCTGCAGATTTCCGCCCGCGGTAACTTTAGGAACCCACGGTAACTTTTGGATTTTAGCTGACCTCGCAAAATCCAGAGCGCCTTTCAAAAAGTTACCGCGGGCGGAAATCTGCAGGGAGATTACTGCTGGTACCTCTACCGCGGGAGATTATCCGTAGGGACGGTAGAGGTACCAGCGGTAATTTCTTCCGCGTTTTCAAAAAGGCTATAGTATAGATCTCAAATGTCAGAAAACCTACTGTAGGTCTCTTCGTTGGATTTATCGAAAAATCCTCTGTGCGGTTTCTGCAGAAAGTCTGAGAGACTACACGGCTTGCTGCTGCAATCTGTGTATTTAAAAGAAGGGTACAAAATTTTACGAATCCCTATGGAATCCAACGCTCATATCGTAAATCGTTGCAGCAAACACAGCCGTCCGGTAGGCCCACGACGACGTATACCTGGGGCGGCCCGTTAGTCGAGCGGATAGAACACATTACCCCGGGCCTGTTTCTGCGATCGAAATCTATCTTTTACAATTATTCCGGCCATCTGGATTTAAAGGAAAAAACGAAAACTGGAGAAATTTAACGTATAATAATAATATCTCGCGATCATATAAAGTTATAAACAAGTTTATTAAACTTTATTTAGTATTTACTATTTTTACTATTTATGCAAGGAAGATGAGCATTAGCGAACTTCAGCAATCAAACAGCATCATACATATGAGCCCAGATAGTCTTGACCTCGAACCACAGCAGACTTGCATCACGAGATACACCAAATAAGAACACACCAAGAGTTCAAAATTGACAATGCTGAAGTAGTCCCATCATCATCAACTACGAACCAGAGTTGATATCCTATTGGCGCTCGGCGCCCAAACTACATGTGGCAGGTCCTATCTAGCCTATACTACGAAGCAGAATGATGACATCAACAGCGTTCCCGAAGTACGAGCATATGGCGACCAATGTCGCACGCTTCAGCACCAGGTATGTCTCTCGTAACACTCACAACCCCGATCCACACCGCACAGATGCCACTAGCACCCAAGGACCACCCT